AATATATAATTATATATTTCCATTACATATCATATTGCACGTGTAAATATTGTATTATATTTAATTTTTATGTATTTATAAAAATATTAATTTTATATTTAAAAATTCGTTTATATTGGAGATATATACGCATGTATGGGAACATACATGTATAAAACATATCAATAATAATCACACACATATGTGTGTATACTATGCATGCGTGTATGTGTACTATATATGTATATACACACATTCAAGCCTGAAGAAGCCGTGGAAGGACACAAACTAACTGCAGTGGTTACCATGTGGTTTATGGGCATAAAAAATTGGTGGGTGGTGCACACACTGTGGGGGGAAGACTTTTCACTGCATACTATTTATTTACTTAAGAACATGTAAACCATATATTAACTATTCAAACAGTGAACGAGAGCATTTTAGGGAGGAAGACCACCCTGGCACCAGTCCCTTCTTCCCTCTCTGCCCCCCTCCCCGTCCAGCCGCGGCCTCGAGCGCCCCCAGTGGAACCAGCGAGGAGCGGCCCGGATTTCGACACGCGGGCTCCAGCGGCTCCGCAGAGCGCACGCGCAGACGCGGCATTGCACATGCGCCTTTGCTTGGGCGCCAAGTCCGAGCAGGAGCCGTTCAGGCCGGCGAGGCGCTCGGCGGGCGAGGTGAGCACGCGCTATGCGCGCGGGCGTGGGGGCGAGCGTGTGAGTGGCGCGCGGGCATTCCGTGGCCGAACGCGGTCGGAAGAGACACGAGGGCGAGGGGCGGCACGCCTGAGCGCGGGAGAAGCCCAGGGCGGCGGCGCGGGCCTCCCTGAGGGGCGACGCCATGGCGGGCTCGAGGCTGCGACGCGCGGCAGCCCAGTAGCTGTGCGGGGGTGGGGGGTTAGGGAGGCGCCTCCGTGTGAGGAGACGACGGGGAGTAGTGGCCCCTGTAGAGAAGGGGCCCGGGTCGGACGTGGGGTCCGCGGACACCCGGGAGCCGAGGATCACCGGTGCGCGGGAGTGGCCTCCCCCGCCCTCGCCGCGCCCTTCTGTGCCTCAACTCCGAGGCCTCCGAGGCCTGTCCTAGGCCTCAGGCCAACGCCCTCCCTGGGCCGCTGGTCTCGGCCCCGCCCCCACGCCAGGCCCCGCCCCTCCTGGCCCCAGATTCTCCGACACCCCCAGGCCCCGCCTAAGCCCCATCCCTACCCGGTGTCGGCCCCAGGCCCCGCCCCTCGCGCCCCAGACCCACCGTTATCCCGGGTCCCGCCCTGAGCTTAAGCCCCGCCCCAGGCCCCACCCTCAGCCCCACCCACCAAGGCCCCTGCTCCGACTTCCTTCTCCCCACGCCGGCCCCTGGGCCCCGCCTCTGTCCCGCCCCTCTGCGCTGCTCCTGCCCCTCCTCTCTCGGTCCTCCCCACTACCTCAGTTCCACCCCTGCTGGCAGTCTCTCCTCCCTGCCCTGGCCCCTCCGATCTGCTCTTCCTCTTTATCTTGCCCCATTCCCCCTTGAGCTCTGCCCCCGCTCTTTGCCTTACCTTGTTCTGCTCCGTTTCTCTTGCCTTGGCACCACTCTTCCCATTGTCCCCTTCAGCCCCTGCTTCCTCCTTCCACCATCACCTCTGCCCACCCAGGATGAAATGAAATGTTTAAATAAAGCAATAATAAAATGTAATTGCATATTTAACTTATTTCTGGGTGGACAGTGATAGATTGCACATTAATATACTAAAATTCTACAAAGACTAAAGAGTAGGTGGCTAGAATTTTTTTTAATCAAGTAGGACAAGGAATATCCTTCATTTATATATAGTCTTTACCAATCAGCGACAGAAACACCCTACTGGAAAGAAGACAAAGGATAGGTGCAATTTATAAAGGGCCAATAAGTCTGAAAAAAAAAAAAAGTAAGTTTTATTATTAATTTAAGGAAATGCAGAATTAAAGAATAAAAAATATATTTTTCATCTGTTTAATTGGCAACAAATTTTGAGAAATGATAATATTCTTGCTGGGCAGACTAGTTACATAATTTGCAGGGCCTAATGCAAAATGAAATATGAAGCCCCTTGTTTAAAATATGAAAAATCTC